TCCCCACCGAACACACACACATACACACATACATACACACAAACACACACATGCGTGCACACACACACACGCACACATACACAGACAGACTGGCAGTGACAATAGTACATGTATAGTAAATAGTTATGGTATACATAACAATGAGAAACACTCTCAAAGAGAATAAAAAGGGAGAGATGAGGGGAAAAAAAACCCACCCAAAAAAACAAACAAAAAAAAACACGGGGAAAAGGGGCGTGGGTTTGACAGTACATGTACTTATATAAGAAGGCCGAAGTTCGCGCTGACAGAAAAAAAAATGGAATTTAAAAGAGTGGCCGCCCCCGTGGTCTCCCCTCCTGTATATAAACCATCGAGATAAAGAAGGTAAAAGCCATCATATTTTCTTTGCGGAGCAGTGAACACACAAGAGTCGACAGATCAAACATTATTTTGGGTGAGTTAGAATTCTGTGCGACTGGCTACTGTTATTTATATCTAGACTTTTTGCACTTTCTATATCTTAACATTACTGCATTGTGGGACTGTTTTCGGGACCCACCGCTGTTTATTAATATCTTTTTTGTTTGTTTGTTTCACACTACACTACCGTGCAGATGATACTGGTTCGAATCCTCAGTCAGGCGTGCTTGAATCGGGGGTTTTAAGCAGCTCGGTGCCAGTCAGAAACAGCGCAACTCTTTTTCTTCTTGGTCTCTTGGTTTCAAAGGGCGAGATTATAATTTGCGTCACGTAAGATAAAAAGTGTTGTCAGGTCAAAAGAGTCGTCATGAATTCAAATCATCTGCCGACCTAGGAGCTTTTTTCTTCTGTTTCCTTCTTTTCTTTTCCTTTCTTCCTTTTTTCCCTTTCATCCTCGTTAATTATTTTTTCCTTTTCATGTGTGTATTTTGTTTGTTTTCTTATGTTTCTTTTATTTTTAGATAAAGTCATTCTAATAAACTGCGATAGGCATGACACAGTTACGTATATTTAAAAGAAGCTGTCTGTCACAACAGACTGGGACTCTGTAGGATGCATCCCAGCAGAAACACATTATAAGCTCAATAACTTAACACAGGCTGCAACATGGGGCCCATTAATCGCTTGTTTCATCTTTTTAAAAATCTTCCTTACTTAATGCAAATTTTTTTTACAGAAAACGTCCCTCCTCTCCGATAACATCGTCAACATCAGATTCATTTTTTTAAAACAAAAGGATCTCTCTTTAACCCCCCCGTACCCCTACATCCCCGGCCAAGGATGAGTTAACTTCTTCTATTAGTAACTG